GGGGGGGGGGGGGGGTCGCCCGGGTGTAGGTTGGACTTGCCGTTGATTTATGTTTCCAGGGCGAGTTTTCCCGATGTCGATCTTGCGACTCTTGGTTGTCCTTGTGTGTCGTCGTTCTGCGGTGAGCGTCATCCTGTATCTCTTTGTTCTGTCGTGTCTCCTTTGTCCCGCTCTTACCCTTGTTTGTGTTTTCGTATTTTATCGTTCCCTCTGTTTCTTGCCGGAATATTTCTTACCCGTGTGCCCGTACTGTTCCGAGCCGAGCGCAATAGGGGGTGTTCAAGACCGATCGTATGCCCGTTCGATGTTTTTCGAAATCAGGTTAGCGGGCTCTTCATCAGCAACCCTAGGAAAATAGCTTCAGTCTTCTTATTGTCTCGTTTCTACCGGACTGCCGCTTTTCGCCTTGATTGTTTGGGTATTCGAGAGATGGATGCCACCGTCCGAGAAACCAACCGCAACATACGCGGGCGGGTGTATGGGTGCATCCCCCTCCCCTCCGAAACTTGGAAAATTTGCGCGGATGTGAGGGGCACCCTGCAGTAGGAGGAGGCACCGACACAAGCCGCCGCATTGGGTGTAGTCTAGCAAGATGTTGGGAAGAGGATGAAAATACACAACTTTGGACTTGCATTCAGAGGTTTATTTATATAAAGTGGCACTGACCCTCTTGAAAATTGTGTAGAAAAGTGTGTTGCCGAAGGCCGAATGAACTGGAGTGTATTTTGAACGAAAGAGTTCGTTACAACACACGTTTTTCTCTTTTGCGCGACGCACACGTTCATGCCAAACGAATTCGAGTGTCTTGAATATCTGCCGATCGGCTACAATAGACGCACACTTGAGCATTTGTAGTGATGGGGTGGTGGTGGGAAGGAGAACGAACAAACATCGTCATTACAGCCGTGTGGCAACTTTCAGTTTGTTTTTTTCCGTTCTCCGCATGACCATGCGCCGCTTGAGCCACGACTTCACTTCCGGTACGGTACATGATTTTGTAGGGTCGGGTACTCTGGTACTCTACCAGTACGTACTGCCAGTGCTTGCGTACTGGCAGTACAAATACACTGCCAACCATTGTAGCCAGTACGCCAGTACGCCAGTAAATGAGCATCTTTACGTACGTCCCTTAACACGCCTCAAGAACCAGCGGAAACCCATATATTACCGCAGACCTCTTCTGACAACATCAGGCCGCCTGCTGAAGGAGACAGACCGTACCCCCCACACGAACCACATGTTTGCGGCCTACGCCACTTATTTATCGGGTGTATTTTGGTGATGTATTAACTTTGCGAGAGGTAGACGACCGTCCTTCACACGGATGAAAGAGGGAGTGCTCAATGAGCGGCTCCCGCAGCAAGGAGGGGCCCCGTGAATCATTGCGGTGCCCCCTACCAAACGGCAATCTTACCAGTCTGCGTGACGCCATATGCAAAGGTGCACCGATTCAGGTAAAAGTCAATCGACGGATACCCTGCGAATCGAGTCCTCATTAACACCAAATCATCCAGCACATAAATCCAACACCAATGTTCGCAGACCCACGTGTTGGGCGGTACCACAGCTGTAGTACGCTGGTTGGCGTACGTGGTAGAGGCTAGGTAGAGAAAACAAAAAGAGTGATTTATTATCCACACACAGACGCGTGGACTGTCTGCACCTGACGGTTACAGTAAAACAGAACGCCTTCACAATACCGTATCAAACACATACAGCAGAATAGAGTCGGTCTTGCACAGCAAACACCCCAACATGTCCTCTCAAGAACGTACGTCATTCTGATACATGGGACTCGAATCTTCTCTCGATGTCCTCTCAAAATAATGTCCTCTCGAAAACAACTCACGAGTACTTGCGATCTCAACTCAAAATTAAATAGTCATTACCTGCCATTTCAACAAGCAGCGAAAACATTCCTCTTACACAGATCTCCCGAGTTTCCTTCAACATTCAACCCTTAAGATTACGAAGAGGGGAGGTGACTACATTCCTAGAAGCTGGCGACGGTTGTTGAGAAACTTAACCGTTCCTAGGTTCTTGGTCAACATGTCAGCCTTCTGGAGGTTGGTGTCGATTTTCTTTACCTCCACTACCTTGTTAACGATCAGCGACCTTACGTGGTGATATTTGACATCGATGTGCTTCGTTTTCTGCGTTACTTTGTTGGATTCACTAGCCGATATGGCAGCAGTGCTATCCTCAAACAACACCGTAGCCTCCGTCTGCTCTCGATTGATGGTCTTGAGAAGATGACGCCAGTGTAGGATCATTTTGCACGCCTTGGACATTGCGACGTATTCTGCCTCAGCCGACGACGTGGCAGTGACCGTCTGCTTTTCACTTGTCGTGTCCACCGGGCCACCTGCGAGGGTAAGAACGACCCCAGTAGTCGATATTCGATCGTCAAGATCGCCTGCGAAGTCAGAGTCGACGTAAGCGGTTAGTTTATCTCCGCCTTGCGCGTCCTTGCGGTAGGTGATGCCCAAAGAGGTCGTCCCCTTCAGGTAGCGCATGAGTCGTTTCAGTTTGGCAAGCGCCTTCGGTCCTGGTTTAGCCATGCTCTTCGTGAGTACCAGCACCGAGTGAGAGATGTCTGGCCTCGATCCCCTGCTGATGTATAGGACCGAACCCGTAGCCGACCGGAACATGGTAGTTTGCTCCGGCGACAGAGCATTTTCTTCCTTGGTCGTAACCGGCTCCTTCTCGGCCGGCGTTGCCGTCGCGCGCACGTCAGCCATGCCGAATTTAGCAAGCACGGCCTTGGTGTAAGCTTCTTGCGTCAGTAGGATGGTGCCCGCTTCGAGGTTGCGCTGGATGGCCATTCCCAGGATAAACTTTGCTTCTCCCAGGTCCACCGTCTCAAAGCGCTCCTTCATCTGTTCGATAATGGTCGTCACGAGCTCCTCCTTGGCTCCGGTAAGTAGGATGTCGTCCACGTAGACGAGCAGGATGACCTCTCCCCCGTTCAACGTGTACAGACACGGATCGGCGGTGCTCGGGACGAACCCAATCTCCAGCAGGAACAGGTGAAACGTCCCATTCCAGCTTTTCGGAGAGAGGCGTAGGCCGTACAGCCACGCCTTAAGTCGCCAGACCAGCTTTGTTTGCTCCTGCGAGCACGTGAACCCCTTCGGAGGTATTACGTAGATAGGTTTGTCTTTCTTGGACATCCTGGAGTTGAGAAAAGCCGTCTTCATGTCGGCCTGCCTGAGAGCTTGGCCAAAACCAGCAGCGTGGGAAACCACTAGATGGACAGATTCCATAGACGCCACCGGTGCAGCCTTATCCGCTCCCGTGTCAGCTTCGTGAAAACCTTGCACCACCACGCGACTCTTCGGGCGAACTGGCACATGTTCTTGGTTGTACTTCCACCTGTAGTGGAACCTAGTCGGAAGAAGTTGGGCGTCTTCGGGCGGAAGCACCCAGTCGAACACGTCGTGGTCGTAGAGCGACTGCTCTTCATCGTTCATGCTCGCTCTCCGGTCCACTCATCGCTTCATCGTAGGTGGCAGGATCGGCAGGCATGTAGCCCACCTCCCCGGGACTGCCTCTCCCGAGGTTGCCGAAGTCACTTCCAGTCACCATAGCATGTTCGGTCCTCTCGTACGCCTGTTCTTTCGTAAACAGATTCAACCGTTGCGGCGCCACGGAGTTCCTGCTGCTGCGGCGAGGTGCCGGTGCTTCCGGCTCCGATTCGTCGGATGATTCTTCGTTATTTTCTTCTTCTTCTTCGATAGAGTCTACCAGACCAGGCCGATAGAATGTTGAGTTAGGCGCGGGGAGAGGATCTTGCCCTAGTTTGGGCTTGATCACGTCGCGCATCTCCTTCTCACGGAACGATACCTCCACGGAGTTGGTGATTTTGAGAGGCTCCGAAGGGTCCCAAAGTCGATACGACCTACCCTTGGAGTTGTAGCCTACTAGGTACATTTTCTTGGCCCTGGCCGCCAACTTGTTCGACCGGGCGCGTACCTCTTCGTGCTTAAAAGCCAGCGACCCCCACTCGTGGATGTGAAGCATCTTTCCGAGCGGCTTCCCCTCCCATACCTCGAGTGGTGCCTTGCCGCCCAGGACTTCGGTCGGGGTCCGATTCTTGAGGTAGATTGCAGTCATGAAAGCCTCCCCCCACAGCTGTTGAGGAAGGTGCGGTGCTCCCAAGAGAAGCTTGCGGGCAGTGCCGATGATGGTACGAAATCCACGCTCGGAGATGGGGTTCCCTTGCGGGACAAAGGGGGGGCTATTCGTGAGCTTGATTCCGAGCGACTTACATAGCGCCAGAAACTTGCCCAAATACTCCGCTCCCCCGTCGCAGTGCACCGTGCCGATGCTCTGACCAAGCGGGTCGGCCTCGTCCCGAACCAGAGTTTGAAGAGCTTCGGCCGTTTCGTCTTTCGTCTTGAGTAGGTAGCCGAACCTCATGCGAGTAGCGTCATCAGTAAACATCACGGCACTCTGGCAACCCCCGTATGTAGCAATAGGATGTTTCCCCCACGTATCGGCATTTAGAATTTCCAGCCGAGTCTCCGAGAGGGGACGGTTAGACGGGGGGTGGCTGCCCTTCTTACTGTCACCAACCGCACAAACACCGCAGTCACCTGGTTCGATGTTGCGATTGAACCTGATTCCGGTAGTGTCCTTGTCCGCCAGCTGCTGCAGCGCTCGCGAGTTGCAGTGGCCCATCCTCCGGTGCCACAGGTGAGCGTCTACCTTCGTGCGATTTACTTCTACAGCGCCCAGGTTGACGTCGTCGATGATGACATTCAGCACGCACATGCGAGGCACTGCGGTCGAGATCGGAAAGACCTGGCTGCCCATGCGAAGCGCAGGCGGGGTAGACATCAGATCACACATCACCCCCTTCTCGGCCAGCGCTCCAACCGAAAGTATGTTCGCTCCAAGGCCCCGAACCAGCAGAACCTCCAGAGCTACTCGCACGACTTGGTCTTGATCATTGCGCACCCCAAACTTCAGGGTACCTTTCTTGGTTGCGTCGGATGTGCCACACGACCCGATAATGCGCACAGCGCAATCTACCGGATTGAGGACGTGATGGGACAAGCGAGACTGCTCATCCACCATGTGGCTGGACGCGGCGGAATCAATGTAGCAGGCGGAATCATCAACGACCTGCGGTTTCTCTTTGTCCACCTGAAACACGCTGCTGAACGCAACGAGCTCGGTGTCCTCAGGCGCCTCCTCCGTCTGAGAATATCCGTGGGCAGCAGGGTCATAGACCACCGCTGCAGCAGGTAGGTGTGTCCAGTACCTGCGGGTCATACACAACGCGTTCATCCTGCAGCGTCGGCACCGGCGCGTCTTGCACCAGCGTGTCACCAGCAGCGCGCTCCTCTGGCTGCGCCGCAGCAGGCGCATCCTGCACCTGCACGTCTTTTCCGAAAGAGATGGCGTAGTCCTCCAGCACATCGCCTTCAGTCTCCACCCGCGTGAACCATGCCTGAGTGGTGGAGTCTTGAGTGTGGTGAGTATCAGCCTGTTCAGTGGCTTCCTCCGCCTCGTGCCTCAGGCGGAGCGGGCAGTTGTGCCACCCGTGCTCTGTCGAATTATGACAGTAGCGGCAGCGCCCTTTTCGGTTCCGACCGGTGTCCTGGCCCTTACCTCGGCCACCGGAGGCGTTGTTGCCGCGATAATTCCCGCGAGCACCTTGCGCATTTCCCGCGCTGCCGCCTCCAGCGTTGCCGGCCGATCCGCCGCCGCTGCTGTAGTTCCCATTCGACGAGCCGTTCGTCGAACCGTTTGTAGTTCTGCCGCCATTTCCTCGGCGACCACCACGACCACCACGGCCGCCGTGCTTGCGGAAGCCACGTGCCCCTCCGTGCGTGACAGTGTTCAACGCACGGCCGTGGCTGCCCGACCCATCGTCTTGGTCGAGCACTCTTCCGCGAATTGGCATTGCGTAGTAGAGTGTGGCACGACGTGCGATATCGTCGAAGCCTAGCGCACCGCTACCAACAGTGGGCGACTCTACCAACAGTACAGTCTTGAACGAGCCGTATTGCTTGTCGGGCAGGGCCTTTAGGATGGCATGTGCTTGCCGTTGTTTCACGACTGTGTCTCCGAGTTTGCCGAGTTCGTGAAAGATGCGGCGCAATTGTTGGATTGCGCGAGCCGGATCGTACTTGTCAGCAGCGGTGACCGCGACGGCGGCCAACTCATCGTGTAGCTGCTGCATTCTGAAAGTCCCATCGACACGGTACTTTTGCTCGAGCGCTACAAAAGCACTTCGACCGTCACCGAACTCCTCGTCCCCGACAGGCCCAAACGACTGCACTACCTGCGAAGCCGGGCTCGAGTATCCTTCCGGGCAGTCCGACGTAGCCAGCAGAAGCCGCGTGTAGAGTTTGCCATTCTTTTCTTGGAACTTTTGTAGCTTCCTCTCGTACGTCGCGGTCGCTGCGGCGTCGGCATCCTCCGCCACCGTAGGAGCCTTCTCCGCTCCAGACATGACCCGACCTAGGTCTGCCTCGTACATCAGCGCACGGAAAAGCGAGACCCAACCGACATATGGCCGGGTCTCCGCTGAACGCGACATATCCGCGCTGCAGATGATTTGACGACTGCTGTTGCGCTGATGACGCCATTTGACTCGAGATGATTCCCTACCTCGCTATACGTGGCTCAAAACCTGTTGGGCGGTACCACAGCTGTAGTACGCTGGTTGGCGTATGTGGTAGAGGCTTGGTAGAGAAAACAAAAAGAGTGATTTATTATCCACACACAGACGCCTGGACTGTCTGCACCTGACGGTTACAGTAAAACAGAACGCCTTCACAATACCGTATCAAACACATACAGCAGAATAGAGTCGGTCTTGCACAGCAAACACCCCAACACCACGAACACCACACAGCTACGTAGACCACACGACGATGGATAGGTTTGTCTCCTCTGGCAGCTCGTCGTCTGCAACAGACCCTGGCAGTGTTGCTAATGACGCAGGGGCTGCTGCGTCAGCACGAGATGGTTTGTTGGGCCCCTTTTCCTGGCGTTTCTGCTTTGGTTTTGTTTTTCCATTTATTATTTTACTTGATTCTGTTTGCTGTTTGCACAGCAGGTATGCATAGCAGCACTCTGGCTGGTGGGTTCTTCTAGGTTTCTTGGCTACGTTCAGGGCTGCCGTCTTGTTGTTTTCCCTTTTGCGAGAGGCTTCCGATTTTTTTCTTTGATCATCTGCTTCGTTCGTTGTTTGCATTTTTTATTTCTCCAACCGGTGGGTTTGGTGGAACTATGGAACATTGAATGTCATCATTTCGCAAGTAATTATTCATCATGCTAGCCACTTCAACTCGTGTGCATGCATACATACGTCTCCCACGATCTTGGAGTTCATGGGCATTACAAAGTTTGAAATTTGTGCCACATTTCCTCGTGCCGAAAATCAATAAAGTTGGGCGTTGTACCCCAAGTTTCTATCGTTTTGCCCGCGCGACATCGCCTCTCTCTATCAGATGGCCCAAAATCACCCAAAAAAATACTGATTGCGAAGCCAAATCGCATAGAAAAGCGCCTCCGGCGCGGCGCCTCCAGCGGGGCCCCTCACCAGCCGGGGGGGCGATGGTCGCGGCTGCGCTGCGACTACGCGGCTTCGCCGCGGAACCATTACGGTACTGATCGGATCCAGTATATACTAGCTGCTGACGCAGCCAGTGTACAGGATCCTGACTGGCTTCGCCAGTACCCAACCCTATGATTTTGGTATGGCTTCTTCCCTCGCCCGTAACTTGCGAGCTCGGATGCCCTGTGTTGCGTTGTTGTACTACAGCTACACTCTGTGCTTCATTCTGCTCGCTTTGGTGTGAATTTGTAGAGGTGTGGGAGTGGGCTATAGTCTATTAGGAGGAGGAGCCGCATCTTCGATTATTTCCCGATACTGCTGTAGACTCGATCCTAATCCTCGTTAATCCTGACTAGTCTAATATCGGCTTGCGGTCTCGGATGAAACTTGGCTTCCCCCTTCCTTCTTGTGATTTCCCCCGATTTATACGTTGTTGATGGAATGCAGCAACGTCTCCTCATCATCAGGATAGGCTAGTGCAGTGATGGTATTGACTGTGGATGTACGCGTTCTCAGCCCATGTGTGTGTATGGGTATTGCTGCTGTACTGGGTAGGCAGGTACCATCCACAGGACATACTTGGGCGAATCGCAACGTGCTGCTGCTCGTGCCCACCGCATACGGTGCCACTAGGCTGGTGAACGGTCCCTGGTCTCCGGTCGGGAGATTGTTCGATTGTTCGAGGATGCCGTGACGCCGTGACTGACGCCCATAGAAGCCGCGCTCGCAAGTAATCGGGCGGCCGGGAACTGCGTTGCGGCAGTCTTTTGGCACCAAAGAGAATCGGATGCTGGCGATGGGATCGACCAAGAGACATACCAGTCGACCTCGACGAACATGAGCAACAGGCTGAGGCCTCGCATCCCGGCGGCGGCTGAAGCCCCGGTGATTTCGGGCGAGTTCACGCCGGACATGCTTGCAAGATACCGAGCGCTTTCGGAGCCAATTATCGCGGCGATTCGAGCCATCCCTGACAGCGTTCCGTTCACGGCAGTAGTGCCTTCTGACGGTCTATCGACCATTTCCGTTGGTCCCGTACACTTCAACGCGGTAGTGTAGCGCGAGTACGGGCAGCGGTACTTCGACAAGCTTGGCGACGCCATCAGAAACAGCCAATCAATGAGGTCACGAGACGGCGTGCTTCCGCGGACGGTTGCTTACGGTGCGAAGCAAGGCGTCTCACCGAGAAAGATGGACAGAGAATAGAGTCTCTGAGGTTTAGACTACTGTTGTGCTGCTAGTGGTGGGTGCAGATGTTAGTCGATTTTGGGCCGACCTGGAGAACGTACATTTATGGCCTCCGAGAGTCCGGGTGGCAGGCTACGAGGGTCGCCTGACGATAACGTTCGGGGTGTCGATCAAAAAGAGCCAGTCCCATGACAGCGAACAAGCCTTGGTGGGTGTTGGTTTTGCTGAACCACAGACCAGATGTTTTACAGTGGTACTGTCCATCCTTCCTTGCCAAGTATATGATCAGAAGGCGGTGGCCACTACGTAATCGTGTGATGGACGTGGTCTTGTTTACATTGACAAATTTCATTTTCCTCCCCTTCAATCTCGACTCGTCAGGCCGAACACGGGTCCTTTGAAAAGAAAAAAATAACCTCCATCAACGAATTGAGCGGAACCAAAATATTCGTGAGAAAGCTCTCATCAGCAGCGATCGAATAAGCCCATTCGCAGCGCGGGGTTTGGGCTTTCAAGAAAAATATGCCCCCCGGTGTTTGCCATCGGGGTTGGGTTTTCGTCGCTTGGCAACGACGTTGTAAAACAAGCCAATTCACTTCGTGAACTCGGCAACCAGGTTACCGTTTATTTTATTTTTTTACCTCCGTTTTTTTAGTTTTTGGCGGTAACCATAATGGTGGTCGAGTAGATCACGTTGTGCGGGGNGCAGCGCGGGGTTTGGGCTTTCAAGAAAAATATGCCCCCCGGTGTTTGCCATCGGGGTTGGGTTTTCGTCGCTTGGCAACGACGTTGTA